TGATGTGCGTTTGTGGGACTAGGTGTGTATGGAGGGGGGACGGAGATCAAATACAGCTCACACAATGTGTCGGAATGTGGGAATACATAATTCAATGTAACCCATTTGATGAAGATCCGCAACACATAGATGCACATGTTCCTACCAGTGTAGTATCATCATCTTTGAATTAGAAAAAAGATAAGCATTGCAAGCCACAATTAGGTTATTTTGCAAAAACTACTTTGCGCACAATACATCTGTGACTAATTACGAATAACGGGTTTGAGAAGGAACTGGGAAAGTAATATGAATCACAAGTGTTCGCCACTTTGAATGTGGTGTTATTTTCTGCTAACAGTCAATCAACATTTGTTCCGGTGCTTCGGAAGGGCTCGCTCATCGGCACAAATTGTTTACGAAAACACACACAGATGGGGTTATGAAGACTGATACGGACCGTCTCCAATGTGGCTAGAATGCGAAACCGCACTTGTCTATGCCCATCTTCATTCTATACGAGGGTTGGAAAGCTTTGGTCACGTTGACGGCGCGATTGGTGTCAACACGTTGTGCGACGCCACTAAACTTGAGATGGACTAAATTACTACACTTCTCAGTTACACGGGGTGGTGCTCACGGATGTGCTCGCATAGATGTCTGGGTGTGCGGACATGTGCTCATGTTTTGTCCAGCGCGTGAACTCTGAACAGGCGAGAGCACACATTGAATCTTTGGTCGAAATCTATTATCTATAAATCCTCCGAAAGCCCCAATACGGTCGAGTTTGGGCGTCATTGGTTTTGGTTGATCGCTCTGCTCTTGTACCTAGCGAAATGCTTCTACACGATCAAACGTCTGAAATAGCCTATGCTGGAGAAGCCCTGCTCACGGTTTTCCCGTGGCGGAGGTGTTTTCCCACCAAAGTGAGTGGACGAAAAGCCAATATTCGGGGCTACAACCGGGTCGGTGGACCACTCTCATTTCACCCAGGGGAGTTGGCTAAAAACCCTAATTCCAAACCTGACTGTAGTATTGGTCATCAGTTCAGTCGGGCCTCGAGATGTATTGAGCACCTTAGGCATTTCATCCCGTCCAAAGAGCGCAGGATTCGACGGACTGGACATCGACCTCCAATGGATTGCGGTCTTCTCACACAGCCCCGCTGTCTTGCGGGTCAGGCTTTGGTTAACTGCAAGCTCCGGTTGAGAAACTAGCCAAGAAAATTTACCTGCTTTGGCCCGAGCATCTTGGCAGTATTTCACCCAAAAACAAATCATGGAACTGTTTTCTTTTAAAAATGATTATTTTACCGTGATTCATTTGGTACTCAGTCTGAACTCAGATTTGTGTGTGATACTACGAATACCTGTTACATCAAAATCACCTGCGAATCAGGTGAACGCGAAAGACCATTCACGACTCCTGATCACATGATAAGATAGTTCTCGAAATGCATTTTCTGTCGGACATCTGATGTAATTTTCGTATCCATTGGAATAGTTTCAACAACATTTTTTGAAACTTTTTTGAGGCAATGGAACGATATAACCGGCAGGTTTCTTTTATCACATTATCATATCGCGATTCGTATAGTTTTAAACTGGAATAATATTTCTGTTGAAATTGGCGTTTACCAACTCGGATCTCATCGACCTACGGGTTCAATACACTTATGATTATCTTCATCTTCTTTTTAACTCCGATACTGTTTCTGGAACGATTGGATAGGGAATAAAATCAAATATCCGTATAAAAATGATACACAGTCGACAGTCGATTAGACCGATTACTCTGGGGAAAAAAACATTTTAGTTTAATCAATTCCCAAGATCACTACTATCCACGGATGAGGGAACCATTCCAGAAATCTGTGCACATTTGATTTGTAGAACTGATGCTCCCAACGTGATTTCCATCCTGGGACCGAAATCACTGCTCCAAAATCAGACAATTCCCTGAAAAACTGCCTTTGATCCCAAACCCCATTATCCACTCGAAAATCAAAGGAGTGTAACAATATTGTACAGACGACGCGGGGGGTNGGGGGGGGGGGGCGGAAATGAAAATTCACGTCTCATAAATTAAGGGGTTATTTCGGGGACTGACGCGCGGACAAACAAACAAACGTACAAACCGAACAGAGAACATATCAATTGACCAACCTGATGAATTTCTTGCAATCCCTCCCGATTAGCCACACCCAATTCGGAGTGCTCGTACAGTAGTCGATGACAGATGCGTTTATCCGGATCGTACAGGATGTTCACATACAACGGGGTCAGTGCACTTCGATCGCGACAATTCGGTGATTGGCCAAAATCTAGCAGGGACTGGAACGAACAAACAAACAATACCGAGTCGATCAGGTTGCCCGGTCTCAATTCGAACAGGGAAAAATTGTGGCAAAGCACATGGAAAATAACTTACTTTGACTGCCTCGAAATTTCGCGCGGCAGCAGCTTTGTGCAATGGAGTCATGCCACATTTGGAATAGTAATCTCGATGTGCTCCACCAGCAATCAGTGTACTGATCATATTGTACGGTTTAGATCGTGTCACAGCAATTGTGAGCGGAGTTTCTACGAGGATGATTGGGGGGAGAGGGGGGGAGGGGCGGATTAAAAACAATTATCGTAAAACATACCCCCAGTTTTTGGGCACTGAAAATTGGGGTCAAACCCCTTGGATAGGATTTTCTCTACCTTTTTATAATCTCCCCGAGTCACATATCGTAAAAATGCTTTGGTCAAATCCTTTCCAAATGGAAAATCAGGTGAGGTATGCAGCAATAGAACACTTACTTTGGAAAACTTTTCTACGAGCGGAGAAGTGACAGACACTGGAGGAACCATTCGTCTTTTGTAGACAAACTACATGTGGGACAATGTAGCCGAAGGGAATATGGAACACTTACTTCTAACAACATTTCCGGTTTCTCACATGCATATTCGGACAGGAGACGCTCTTCTTCCATGAATTTGCCCATTTTCCCCCCGTCTCCGGGTAGGAACAGACCCATATTCTGTCCATCACTTAGTAACGACCCGAATGCTTTGAGTAACTTGCGTTTGATATCCAACAGGACTGCATCTCCAATCACTTTGAGACAAGTCTGTAAAGTACAAGTACGTGTATGTGTATGCTTATCACATCTATTCGAGGAAAATGCCAATGCGATAGTACATCATCGAGGACCCTGGAAATATTATAGATTGGAGTTCAAATTGGAAAAGAAGGAGTATAAGTATCGTTCAAGTAAGTCATTTTGTTGACACTAGCGTATTCCGAGCCCCAAGATCTCGGGGTTCGAACCCTATCAATGTTTCCCAACTTTGGTGGCAGAGAGGTTCACTGCAATCTGCATCGGTACCGCGCTGCACTACATAATGAAGGCGTTACGTGCTCCACTAAGGCATTTCCTATACATTAAATCCCATAAACAAACAATATGCCCTGATGACCAGTGGCTCAAATTGTTCTACTGTTTACTCCGATGGGATTTCTAATAAAAAAAACCTAGGCGTTATCATAAACACAGAGTACCTAAATCAAGTCATTTTATCATTCTGGAGAAAGAGTTTCCAAGCATTTCATAGATTCATGTAATAGAATAAATCAAACTACATTACCGTATTCAAATAGACCGCCAAATCAAAATTGCTTTGTGCATTACCAGGAGACGGAACTGACCTTTTTGCCAAAATTGGGGAACAGTACAGTGAGCACAGTAATCCGGGGCAACTCCGTTTCCGGATGAACCTCGTTAGAGCCGTGCAAACTATGCACACTCCGGGAAGAATCGCTGTCTCCGGTGTGAGATAAGGTGAATTTTTTCATAGTTCTTCGCTTCTCCCCGGTCAAAGAAGCCGACAGAGTTTTGTACAAGTTGGTGTTTTACGCTCCCGCACGCACTCTCCAAGCGTGCTTACGTCTGGTTTAGAAAATCCGTATTCATATAAGCTGAAGTTTTAGATAACAGTAAGACTAATGAAATTAGGCGATTAGATCCCTATGTGTGTACGAATAACAGTGATAGTAGCTGAACATCAAGGAATGAGAATTTTGAGTGTATTCGACTGAACCGCTGGATCTTACCGCCAAACAACTTCAGCAGTATTGTTTGTTGTTGTTGAGATGAGCACATGTGTGAGATGTGTTGAGCCACTGATTGCCAAATGCGTTGTATGCAAAGTTGCTGGTCTTGGTTGTTGGGTTATCAATTATGAAATAAAATGAATGATCGAAAGTCAAGATTAGTATGCATAAATGTTTATCGCCTTTCTCGGATGGAATCCGGAAAATCCTGGTGGTGGCTGATTTACACGAGTATTTGGCTGCGTTATTGCTCCTTAGACGAGATCCCGATCTACTGCGCACGCCCTACGTAGTCGTTACTGCCCTGTGTGTGTGTATGTGAGAGAGAGAGAACAATCCGGAAAACTTGGTCTGTTGCGCCGAACTATACACGTTTGTGCAGCAACCCTACAATCTAGCAATCGTACATGAAAACACCGGTTAAAAGTTTGTATTCATCTGAACCAGCTTTTACTCCTTACATCCTCATTTCAGGTGGTCGAAAAAAAGACGCGACAGGTTCTCACTTGTTCGAAAAGAAATCCATGCACCAGTGTTAACTAAGGCAGCATTTTGCAAGCAACTACATCCCGGAATGGATAACTGTTCTCACATTTGCGGGGACAAGTGATTTGAGACAGTAAGGATTTCACCAAAACAACAAGAACTCTTACAGATGCTGATAGACAAGTAATCCGAAATTGTTTTAAAAATGTGCGACCAGTTTAAACTAGCCAATTATACTGAATTCTATTCGGTTTTGCAACCTGTCCGTTTTGTATTGTCGCTAGTGCGTAATGGTTTTCGATGCTCCGCTGCGAACTCATTCGTCGTGCACAATCAGTTCCAACTCGGCTGACTTAGTGTGCTAATTTAAACTGATCCATGTGCTAAACAATCTCGGTCACTAATGTATTCGTCACCATCTCGGTCACAGCAGCAAATAACTACTAACCAACAGTGGAATCCGATTTGAGTGACACGGAGTGGCTGGTTCCATGCACTTCACTATCCGGCGTTTACAATCTAGCTTACAGCTCTGTACCGTACACACCCTTGTTTTAGATCACAATTTGAACCGGACGAACTGAACGTTTCATGTGCGGGAGTAAAGCGATCATTCTGATCCCAATTACGTTCAACTATGTGAAACAGGTTCGTACAATGCGGCACATTACATGTCTAACCTCTTACCTCTCTGTCTGTTCCCCACCACTACCTCAGATGGTAATCAATCCATCACCAGCTTGTGTAATAGTTTTATTGGTATTTACAATTGACTTATGGGTTTGTCCGTTGTGCTTCCCACGAAACCATTCGCATTCTGTGAGCTATTCATCTGTCATCGGTCGGCGCTCACGGGGGAGGTGGAAGGGGGGGGGGGGG